TTTTTGCATTTGGTATTATATATTTTTATGTATTTATATTTATCATTATATTTACTAATTCGGCAATAATACCGATATTACCGGTCCGACCGGTAATACCGCGCACCGATAGCTAGACCGATATGACTATCGATATTTAAAACATTTGTGTCCTAACATGCAAAGTAGAAAACACTCCAAGTTCGTAGTGTAGTTGCGATTAACAAGAGTCATATTTCATGGAGATCTCACGTCAATTAACTAGTGGTTTTATAGCTATTTAACTAATTCAAATATAGATAATCCCTTTTTTTTTTTGTGAAAATACGAATAATAGCCATGTTGTCTTGTTATAATATACGCTTACTCCAACTCTCAAATTTTTAATAAAAAATAATGTTTAATTTGGTAAAATTCTAAAAAAATAGTTGTAGAATACAAATCATAGTTTATGTGTCGTAAAAAACATTCCTAACATTCTATTAATTTATTATAAAATACGAGATATTATTTAAATGTTTAAGAATGCACTAGAAATCATTTTGAGAACTTTAGATATTGTTTTACTGAAAAAAATTTAGAACTTTAGAAAATGTTTTAGTGAAAAAGTATAGAGAGATTGTTTGATCATCATTTCACTACTATAATCGTGAACGTAGATAAACCATTTAAACCAACCAAAAGCACTCTTTAAATACACCATCAAATAGAGTGGTACAACTAAATAAAGTATAAATTATTTAAAAATATTTAATGTATTTATACATTTTTTTTAAAGAAGTATTTATACAAGTTGAGTTATAATAATAATAAAAAAAAAAATCAACCAAACTTGACACGAGAATGGCTAAATGAAACATGTGAAGTCTGATATGTTGGTACTTCTGGAGGTGGCCGTTGACACGGTCGATGTCCTTAGGCCGGGTACGACTAGAGTTATCGGAGATGCCCAGTGACACTGTCCAAGTCCTAAATGTGCTGCAAGGTTTGCGGGCTGTGGTCCTATGACAGCTACCGTGTATAACATAAATGAGTTTAATGTAACATATTTATGTAAATTGTAACACATTGCTTAGATATAACATGTAACACTTTCCATCAAAATAACAATTTCTATTTAATACTTTTATGTCATATTCTTGTAACATAATTTACCGTATTTTCATTAGTAAATACTGTACATTTTTTGAGAACCATTATTACAATTGAACACAAATTTCACTACATCAAAAGACTTGTTGATTTGAGTTCTGATTAACCTAAAGTCAAATTCCAGTGGGTTGCTCATTTTGCACTGTCAGACTCGTATGATTCATTTATGACTCAGTTGATCTTGTTATTGACTTAGACTAGACAATTTAGTTGACTCATTTTTTTCTTCTTCTTATTTTCTTAACTATCTTTAATTTGAAAAAAAAAATTATAAAAAATTAAAAAAGAAAAGAAGAAATTATTACAAAAGCTGCACATTAATTTTAAGCACTGAAATTTTCTGCCCCAGCGCGAAAGCACAAATAAATGGCGCAAGTTTTTTTTGGGCAGAAAGAGAGACAAACCAAAACAAAGAAGAGGTAAAAGAAACACATATTTTTTTTTTTTTTGGTACAGGGACCTTCCGGTTTTCGGATCCACAGGAACACCGACTAATCCGTAATCGAGCCGGATAGGACCACAAGGGTGGCAAAGCTCTCTCTCAAGAGTTTTAACACTGCTGCATTCCCAAGACTCAAACTCGAGACCACTGGTTAAGCTAGAAGAGACCCAAGTCATCTCATCCAAGCGCGCTTGGTAAGAAAGACATATTTTTGGTGCTAAGCTTCTCGTGCAAAAATATGCCAATGAGGTTAAGAGAAAGATGATCTCAAACGTAATATATTACTAAAATTAAGGAAAATATTATTGTTATTGTAATTGTATTAATACAATTTTTTCCCTACGTCTTCCTTTTCATCCTACAATATAATAATTTTGAACTCATATAATAATAGATCATTTATATATGGCAATGCCGATTAAGTCTGATGACTCTGATGTAAAATTGATTCATTATTTTCCAACAAGTATTTATAAACAAATTTTGAATATATATAATAAGTATAATTAATTTTATTATATAAAGTTGAACAATGTAATTACAAAAGAGATAATGATTTGATAAATTTGTTTATGTATATGAAAATGTTAT